TTAATAATGTAAATCCCTATCCTATGAAAAATGTATGAATGCTACAAAAACTACTTTTCTTGAGAAAAAAATTGTGATCACTCTTCAACAAATTTAAAAAAGATTCCTATTTTCCACATCAGAAATAAAGGCCACCATATAACAGTAAATGAAACTTCACAATAGCGAGATCAAACTTCTAATGACTGCCTAAAAACGAAGCTAGATTATACAGTAATGGAGGAGAATCACTAACCGGAAATCTAGTTGGCAAGTCGAGTGAGGACAGCATATCATCGTTGATTTCAAGCTCCTCCAGCTCCAGCCAAGTAGCAGAATGACTACCCTTCTCCATTTCCCTCTCCAAGATTTCCGAAACGTTTTTCTCGATTCCATTCTCTAAACTTTGTCCAGATTCAACTTCTCTTACTCCAACAGAATCTGGTTCCAAGTCAAGATCAACACACATCAGAGCAGCCATCCTCTCGGCCAACCCCGGCAGTTCCTTCAGCTGATCTCACCCAAAATCCAAACCAAAAAGAACCAAACAATAGCATAAATACAAACAAGCCCTTACTCCATCTAAGCTTCAAGAAAAGAGAAGCGACCTGTTTGAGGGCGTCAGAAAGGCGGAAGGTCCAGGCGTGGTCGATTAGGAAGAGGTCAGACTCCATTGGGAGAAATTTAGCGGAGAGGAGAAGGCGCCGCTGGAGTCCTCCCTCGCACTGTTCGATGGTGAAGAAGTTGCCGCCATCGAAGATTTCGGAGTACAGTTTGTGAAAGAGGTGCCGGTGGAGCGCTGGTGGGATGCCGGAGGCAGCGAGAAGAATGGCGTGAACCTTTGCGAAATCATCGAAGTCGGTTATCCTGGAAGATTGAGTCATGACGGCCAGAGGCTAGCGAGCGGGTAAGGAGCGGCGGGCATGAAGAGCCACTGAGCACTGACAGTACCGAGTAATGACCGTGGGAATCTCGGATCGAGGCGGGGTTTTTTTTTTTTTTGGCGGCCATTTTTTTTTTTATTTATATACTAGAACTTGATTATGCGCAATTACATTCATAACATTTTGGCTAACTTGTGCATGGATCATGTTAGTGACGCATTTCACATTCACTCATTAGTTGGATCTCTTGGGAATATTTGCCTTTTGTTTTGTAGTAAAGCCTTATTTAGGTCACCCTTAGTTTGCCTAGCCGCCCTATTAGAGTCACCTCATTGCCTCATGTAATCTTGCAGTAAGGAAGAAGATTCGATACGGATGAGCAATGAGAATTTGTTAGATTTGGCGATGTGTGGAGTTCTTTCCTCTTGTGATGTTGCGCTTCCTCTGGAGACACCACCTTTGGATCTATTCTAGACTCGATTTGAGCAATTGTAGAGGCGAGCCAACTGACCTTGCTCTTAACAAACAAGTCAATGACTAACGTATCCTGGTGAAGTGCAACCGGCTGATGCCGCTTTCAGGTGCAACCACACACTGTAGGTTCACGCTAGTGCACGTGTCGTATCTGTAATATTGGATTTTAGAGTCTGGAATGTCAATCCCACGGAAAAAGAGGTACTTCAAAATAGGAAAAGTACTAGTATTAAGTCCAGACCTGAAAAGTTGAAAATGTTAATATTTGAAAAACTAACCTGTTGTGTTGCAATTGATGCCAAATATAAATCATACTTAATTAATCCTACTTTTAACTATTTCGATTAAAATATATCAAATACTTAGGAGGCTCTTCCTTGTAATGAGTTAATTGAATTGCATGGAATGTAAAGTTGTAAGTAC